GCAAATGCGAGCAAAATTTGTCGATCGGATATTATAGTTGACATCTTACTTTACGTCTTAAGACCTAATTCAAAAATATTTAATGTCGCTCGCGTGCAAAATTTATCACTACGACGTACACTTTAATGGAAAATATTTGAGAAAATTCTACAGCGTTCGGCTCGACATCAGGATTTTTCTTCAAAATTTTCAAAAGCTTCCACGATTAAATTTTACTGTCTAGGTATTTCCAGTAATAGAACAAATGATTCCGCGTAGAATTAATTCACAGTCCGTCAAACGAACGTTGAAATGCAATAGGGGAATTGATAATTATAACAATCAATCGATTTTATTGGGAGCATAATCGAGTTCTATCAGCGAACAATCTCTACTGTTAATAACCGTGGAATACCGTGAACGCGCCGCTTCTTTCGAAATTAATTAACAATTCAATAAAGCGGCAATAGAATATCGCAATTAACATTCCGAATGAAGCAACGAACGATCCGCAGAGTTTCCAAACGAATTCATCCAGCGTCGATTCGTATTATAATTTTTCTCGCCGGTCTGCCAACATCGGTTCCCCTCGCAAGAAAGAAACTATCGTTCCCCGCGCAATCATAGCTAGCATAACTTGTCGTCCCTCGTCAAAGGCATGGTTATCTCGAATCGAAGATGCAAAATCAGCCCCTTGTGATCTGTATTTCCGACCACGCGAGCAGGTACGACGTTATTTTAAGAGATTTCGAGATTTTACTACAATGGGGCCCGGCCGGGCCCCACCCGTCATCCGGGTGGGCTTAACTTTCCAACAGATTTTCGAAAAATCGGCTGGTCGATTTTTCTTGGCTTTTAAAGGGGGGACAATGGGCTGCCAACCGCATTTGCATCCGCGAGGAGATCACTCGTTTGTTAGAAGGGTCAAGCCAGAAGTGCACTTGCCAACGTAGCAGAAACGATTCGGACAACCCTGCGAAGGGTTTCCAGTCATTTGCGTGCACCCGTGGGGAGGGTCGAGCGTTAGGTTAGGTTAGGACGATCCCGACCTATGCATCTCGTTCAGGAATAAATGCTCCCCGGGTGGACCCTCAAAGGAGTTTCACCTGACCCTCTTCAGCAGCACAGAGGATGCGTACACCTCACGTCCTCGTTATAGTTTTAACTTTTGTCCCACGGTGAAAGGGCCACCGTCCCTTCGCGGTAAGTTATGTTTGTTCTCCCACGGATGACCGTTTTCTTCTGTCAGGATGACTCCTCTAATCGGAACGATCTCGAGAAGATATCGCAAAAAATGGTGCACGAGATTTCCTGCACCTTTCAGAACAAATCGAAACGACTGAATGAATCGTCCACTTCGATTGTCCTCTGCTTTTGTGAACCGGCTAATGACGATCCATTGTCTCGGTCTGGCCTTCTTGAACCTTAGGCATAAACGCAAACGCGATTACCGAAATGACCAGGCTAATCCCCGGAAACCCTAAGTGGGTTTCAGGATGTACATTAGCGGCCGTAAATTTGAGACGCTTTTATTTGTTTACTTTGTTTCGTTTTAAACGTAGCGCAAGACTAAAGCAAATAAATTGATCTCAGTATATAAATAACCTACGACGATCTGTTTAGCGAGATTCGTTTCAAGGAAATCCTTTGTTATTTCAGCGTACAAATATCAAAATCCGTGCATAGCGCGTCTTTGGTCGATTGAAGTTCATTTACCGAGCACAAAAGAATGAGCAAATCAAGAAACTTTCTACTTGACGGAAGAATGAGTATCAAACATCGAGAAATGAGACCGCATTCGCTATGATTCCTGAACATTGGACAGAATGGTCCAATCGTATTGCTTCTGATGGGTTGCGATTAGACAATGTTTTGGATTAGTCTAGCAATCACAGTGCATGTTATATTCCGTCTTCGATCTTTTGTCCGCCGTTGTTCTTCAATTAAAGTTTACAAGTCCCAACATTTTCTGTGTTCTTAGGGACAGCAGCGTTAGCGACGGAAGCAGACCAAAGGGGCAAGAAGCGGCCAGAACGGTGGTCGTCCCCTAATCCAACGCGTCCAGTACGTGGACGAACGCTTCTGCCAAATGTCCAGAGAAAGGTGACCCAGAAACGATCGATAATCGAGTGGGTTCCCGGTATATACGTTTGAAATTCAATAGGCGTGCGGGTTGGGCGGCCGTCACGGAACAGGTTTCCCGTGGATCTGGCCAAAAGTAAGTGACTATTAACGGTAGAACGGCTGTGTACAAAACTTATCATCCCCGGGCTTAATAGCCGGCCGATCTCTCCCGGCCGGCTTGGTGCCGATAATAAAATACCAATGAGCCCAAGACCTGTTTCCACGTCGCCCTGGCTCTCCCAGACGTTAATCCGTCGAGCGTACGTAGGTGGGCGCACGCACCACGCGGCCGTGGTACCTGTCAAAAACTGGCGCTGCAACAATGCCAGAGAGCCCCTTGGCAGAAGTTAACCGCATCGCAGCAGGGCTGCAAGGGCCAGTTCGCCAGCACCAGGACCGGCCTTTTGCGTATCGCGAGAGAAATAAGTCACCCACCGGCGTAGCACCGAACGAATCTTCATAATCAATTTCCACGAACGGAAAACATTGTGCTCGCTTACGATGCCTCGGCGGGAGGGCAATTCCTTCGACCTATTGACTGAAATTTTCGAAACCTTTTTCTGCACGCTTCGGGTTTCGATTTTGAGTTTGCACAGGTAGCCTCGAAACTTTCACCTCGCGTGCGATGTCACAACAGCAGGCAACCCTTTCAGTAAACTGTATTTCGATATTAGTATTTCGAACTTTTTTCAGTGACCGCAAAGTTTCTGTTTCAAGTTTGCACACGCATCTTCGAACTGGTTGTACAGTCTACTTTGTCGAAGGGTTTAGACAGAACTTTTTAATCGAACGTCGCTAAACCGACCAGGAAATTTACCTACTGACCTTGCGCAGATACCCGCGAACATTTTTTGAAAACGTTTCGTTTGAACTCTGACATTTTTAACGCTGAAGATTATAGACTGTATAACCAAGTATTTAGGTCAAATTGATTGTACAATCCAGTGACGTAGTACCGTCGACATTCCTGGTTGGTTGGCACAAAAATCCACGAACATTTCCGTGTCATCTCTAACGTTTTTAGCACTGGAAATTCAACAGAAAGAGCGCTTTTATTTTTTATCGAAAATAATTGGAACAACGTGTTTGTATCTTTAAACATACCAGTGAGTGTTTGATATATTTTGTTGAGATATCGTTAATATTTCTTGATGTAAAGACGTCCATATCGTTACTAATTTCGTGTCCATATTTTTATACTAATAATGTATAACATGATGTATAAAACTCTGCATTTATTCCAAAAACCAAACCAATTTTGAAACGAAATGTCTTGAAACGAATGTAGAGATCGCGAATTAATTCGTCCACCTAGTACATGCAACGGACGATTTGCAGAACCAGCAGAGAGGAAAGAGAAGACTGTCGAAACTAAAAAAAAATTAACGACACGAAAGACGCGCTCGTCGAATCAGAACTGCGGAACGCCGAAAATGAGAGTTCCACGCCATTGCTTGAGCAGGTCAACGCTGCCGTAAGGATCTCGGTGAGGACAAAGAGATCCTTTCCCTGGCTTGATCCTTCCTCCCGCGTCAGGATGCTCCCTCCCACCCTCGCTGCTCTAACCCATGCACAGCCGCCATCGCATTAATGCAAGCGTGGCCCGCGCAAACCCCGCGCTGCAACGAAAGTTCGGCAGCTGTCGAACGCATAAGAAGAGCTGCGGTTCGTACGTCAGCAGGACATAATTGCCGGGCGCGAACATCCGCGAATCTTGACTGTCATCATTGTTAACAGCGCCGAGAGAGCGTAGAGAGAGAGAGAGAGAGAAAATTGGGTGGAACCCGCGGGCCCGTCGGTGAAAACGAGAGCGAGACGCGCCGCGACGCGATGCGGAATTTACACTTGAAAGGTCGGAATTAACGCTTTCTTTTGCGGCCGTTTAGGGGCCCTCGTTAGGGCCATTGTCGCGGGTCGCGGTCCCTTCTACGAAAAGAATTAAAGCCGGTGGCATTATTCGGCCGTGTTTCCTTTTGCGTGCGTAGCGTGTTATTTTGCGGTTCGACTCGGTTTCGACGCCCGGTGCCAATCCGAAGTGCATCTGGGTGAGTGCATCACGCAGTCAGTAAGTCGCAGCGTTGCCTGGCCCTGGCAGCGCAAACCTCGAATGGTACTGCGAATTAGGTGCACAGGACGTTCTTTCCGATTCTTTCGGTCGACATTCTGGAGACCGTTGAAGCGAAGAGAAATATGTGAGGCTAGATAATTGGGTGCAGTATGCATTTTTTTCGAGCTCCGGATGAAGAGACTATTTTACTTTAATTTTTGTATGTACTGTTTTGAATTGGAAGAAAATCATTGCAGAGATCGTTAAATCACTGTTTATTGCAATAGCCTTTTTTAATTGATAGACAGTGGTGTGAATATCTATAGACTCAAAAGTAAATTTTGCGTTTTTAGTGATATTTGCACAAACATTTAACAAAAAATCGTATTTGTATATTTCCATATCAGAAATAATAGAAAATAGAAATAGACAAATATTGGATTTTGTTAAATTTTAGAATGCAGATTGAATGCATTTATGACAAAATTGAGCACGTGCAATTTTAACTAGCAAACAGATTGAATGAAATTAAAGATATCAAGATATTATTTTCGGTCAATTAAAGTGAAAGAAAGGAACTTTCTATTGGGTTGCTACTGCTTGCAATGGATGCAAAAAATTTGTATTTTGCCTAAAGATCCAAAAATGTAAAAATGTAAAATTTACATTCAGTTTATTATTGTGCACACCACTGTAGAAGTTTGTTCGATTGTTTTGTTAAAGACAAGACGAGGGAAACGACGCGAACGGTGAGAAGACGGTAGAAGCTTCCAAGTGTTGTGCAATACAGAGATCATCGTAGGCTTGTCCCGTGCGAAAGCGTCGAGTCTCGTGAATTGGATCTACTTACGACGATCGTCGATCTCGGAGGCACGCACAGATTGACTAATTGCAGTTCATCGCGACCCTCGTGCAGCGTGGCCCTTCCGTTCGACCTTTCCTGAAAGTCCATTAATTCCTTAATGTCGGGACTATCCCCGTGAGTCAATCGTTGTGATGGGATTAATAGAGAGTGTCGAGTTTGAAGATGCAGCTGCAAGATTACAGATAAGATTGTGCCCATCGATCATTTCACAGTGCTGGAACAAGTGGGACCTTTGTCCCTTGCAAAAATATTTAACAAGATATCTCGTACGTGGTAGAACGAAACAGAATTGTCCTGAAATTGTGCGAACAAATAATTTACCGTCTCTGTATCAAGTACAAACTAGAATCGTCGCTCGTGGATAACTTGAAGAATAAGAAAATAACTTAAGGAAATAAATAAATAAAAAATAACTTGAAGGATAATTGAATTTATTAAGGAAATCAAATTGATCGATCGAATGCTGTAGCCTAGTTTTCCGGACGCTGTGACGTATCTAATCACCATGGTTGGTGAAAAATAGATTTTCGAAATAGTAAATAGAGTATAAATATTTATATCTTCTCATAAATAAATATTTGTATCTTCTCATGTAATACAGAATTTGGCAAAAATGATTGAATTGTTTCGAAATGGCAGTTACATATGAAAATAGCATTTCAAACATATTTAACTATGTAATATCCACATGTAACTACTACTTCAAAAGCAGTTTATTTGCCATATTCTGTACTACATGGGACGTACAAACATTTATGCAGTCTATTTACTATTTAAAAAATCGATTTTATTCCCTGCCCTGTTAATAACTCAGCAGCCGACGCGACATAAAGCTGCAAACAAAAAAAGAATAAATGAATAATATTGTACGGTTAGAAGAAACGTGGTCCTGTCCACAGCATAATTGCCATCAAACTTTAAGAAACTCCGGGAGTACGTAGGAAGTTACGCAGAAGTGTTCCAAAGTTACTGATCCTACTTAACGCTTCGAAGTCGAAAGCAGAAATATTTCTCGCGCGCCGCTCCAGATTCCGAGAAACAAGAACTCCCCGAAGAATCTTAATAATGCGCCCGGCTAATGATGATTACAAATAAAAGTGCACGCCCACCGATCCCCAGATCCACCGTCATGAATTTCAAACGACCGGGTTGCCTCGAAATAATTCTTTTCACGGATCGGACCCACCCAGAATTTTGGAAGTTCATCTTCCTGTTCGTGGGCCAGCACGAACAAGGAACAAAGACATGAAAACAAGGCGAACATTCGCACAACCTTTCTTCATCCCCTTAACAATTCGAAGCGCGCCAGGTAGAGACAGTGAGAGAGAGAGAAAGCGAGAGAGAGAGAGAGAGAGAGAGAAGAAGAAGAAGAAGGAAGATTCAGTGTCAAGCGGGAAGGTACTTGCGGATTCCCGAACAGTTGGTACTAATGATCCAACCTGGCGAGGTACATCAACGGTATCCGGTGTCGTGTAACTCGCTAAGTGAAAATACGCGTAGATCCTCCGGAGATACAAGATCAGCCTCGCCCGCCGGCTTTCTGCCAGAGCCTAGGCCCACCGGGAAACAATAAAAGCAGTAACTGGCGCGAACATAATCCTGCAGGACCCGTAGCCTCCGGCGATCCTGCGGAGACTGTCATAATACTCCAGTACCGTAAAAATACTCCTACCTTCGTGTCTCTATTAACTATCCATTATTAACACTAGAACTACCGAGACCTGAACGCTGCTAATGTACAGGGTGTCCCAAAGTTATGGTGCTTCCAGGAAATGAGGGGTTCGTCAGGTAGTTGGAAGTAACTTTTTCTTTAGCGAAAATGCTATTCGCAGCTTTGTTTACGAGTTATTAACGAAAAACAGTGACCAATGAGAGGCGAGATCTGCTGGCGCGACGCGGCCGAGCTAATTAGCGGAACTGGGCTTGCGCCAATCGAGCTCGCCGCTCATTGGTCACTGTTTTTCGTTGATAATTCGTAAACGAAGCCGCGGATTGCATTTGCGCTCAGTTTGCGGTCACTTCAAGTGACCTCAGGAACCTCTCTTCCCCCCACTTCCCTGAAGAACCACAATTTTGGGATATCCTGTAAATTGTCTTGTAACAGTGACAAGATTGGATTTTATTCAAAGAAGTTCGCCTAAAAGATTTCTGATAAAAATATCTTTAATATGAGGAACTCTGAACGGAAAAATCAGAAACGAGTCATTTTGACAATGTCAGATGCAACCACAACAGTCTTACTATTTTTCATTTGAAAAATCATCTCAAAGAATGAAAAACGTTTTATTTACTAGACTGCGGATTTTTATAGAAAATGAAAACTGTTTGCATTAATTACAAGATACAGGAGCTACGTGGTCATTCATTTGTTTTCTTAATAATTTTATTAAGTTGATAATAATGCAACGCATTCACAATTTTGCATTTCATCTTCTGATTTTCGTCATAAATGCATAAAATCGGCAGCCTATTTATTACAATTGTACGGTGTCTTCTTCAAGCACAAGCAAACATGAAGAAATCAACAAATGCATCCACAGCAATCTTGTAATCGTCTATTTGAAAAATCGTGTAAAAAGCCAAGCAACAATGTATTAAAATTACACCGTGCCTTCTTGGAACACAAACAACACCATCACACTAATCGACGGCGATCTAACAACTGTGAATTCCAAAAATAATCTCAATACGATGTCTTTAAAGGAAAGCTTCGGATCAATCCAGTTTCTTACTTTCAGGAACCTAACCTTCGAGAGAAGGCGTCGGCGCATTATTTCGGGGGTGTGCAGCGTGTCTAATCCTAATACTAGGACCTCGGGTTGCGTATGGTCTTGGGACAAAGGGTCCACGTCTGGCAGCCGTAGGATCTAGCCGCCATTTATTTCCAGAGACGACTAACCATTGCACGTTCCTTTATTTATTTACGATCGCGGCGTTTCGTAAATCGTGCTGCCCCCGCCGACTCACAGGATCTTCTGGTTTATTTTAACCCCTCTGTTTTGCTCTCTCGCTCCTTTTTTCCCGGGCGGGTGTTGTAATTGCTGGCAGAGTGTTTGATGGAGGCCGGTAATTCATTTCGTTTCTAGCAGGAAGAATTCGCATGTCATCCTTTCCGCTTCAGTGACTGACTGTTGGGGGAGTCCTTTGAAGGACTCTTTCTGCTAGACGTTGATTTCGCTCATCTTTCGAAGTTGTTCGTCGTTCGACTTTGCTCATCGTTTCATTTTGTTCATCGTTCGACTTCGTTCATTCTTTAACTTTGTTGTTCATTCTTTTGACTTTGTTTATCGCTCGACTTGGTTCATTTCTCTACTTTGTTCATCCTTTGACTCTGTTTATCCGTTGAGTTCACTCATCTTTCGAATTTGTTCACCTTTCGACCTAGTTCATCCTTTGGCTTCGGTCATGTTTTGACTTTGTTCATCGTTCGATTTCATTCATTCTTTTAACTTTCTTCATTCCTTGGTCTTGTTCACCCTTCGACTTTGTTCATCGTTCGATTTCCTTCATTGTTCAACTTTGTTTATCCTTTGGCTTTGTTCATCGTTCAACTTCGTTCATTCTTCAACTTTGTTCATGCTTCGGCTTTTGTTATCTTTTGATTTCGATCATCCTTTGACTTTGTTTATCCGCGGAGTTCATTCATCCGTCGACTTTGTTCATCCTTCGATTTTGCTCGTCTTTCAAATTTGCTCATCCATCGCCTTTGTTCATCCCTCGACATTGTTCATCTCTTGACTTCGCTGGATCTCGAGCCCCGGAAAATTTCTTTCTTTTCCCGAAGCCGTTGCCGTAGTTTCCCAGAGATTATGCCATCGACACGCTGGAAACGAGCCGGGGGAACAGCGAAAGGGAGAATAGGCTGAGAATACGAGCGTGGAGCGGGGGTGTAGAACGGAAAAAGATAGAGGGACGAGCAGAGCAAGTGAGAATATATACCTGCTGGTGGATATTAAAGCGAACATCATACCCTCGTCACTTTTACTGGCCCTCTTTCTGTCCTTTTCTACCACGTTCTTTTTTACCTACAGACACTCGCTCCTCGTTCTTCTTTAGCTCTCTTATCCCTCTCTCCCACTCGTTCTGTCGTTCGCTCTTACTGTATCCAGCAAGTTAAACACATCGAAAAGAGGATGCTGCGTGCCGCGCACAACTGCAAAGTCAAATCCAACCTTCTGGCCCCCTCCAAGAGGCGACCCAACCTAAGCCGGGGCTCCCCCGTGCACTTATGCTGCATTCCAGGCTTAGACGGCCGTTCCTACTCTCCATTTTCATCGTTCTCGCTTTAGAGGCCCGTCGTTAGCCCTAAAAGCAACCCGTGCCCTCAAAGATCCACGATCCTCATCGAGGGCTCACCTGCTCCACGTATGTAACTGGCTTCGATCCACGATTATGCCCTCCAATTAAATGTCACTAAGCGGTCGAATTCCCGATGTCCAACCACTGACCGACACTTCTTTGCGGTAATTACTTTCACGAGATAAAGCAGCTTCGCAGCATCGCAAATTTGACAGCTGGTCGAGTTGTCATACTTTCAATCTCACTCGTGATGGGACTTTTAGGTATGAATATTATTTCGTTCTTTTAAGTTGGAAAATAAAATTCCGTCCTCTTGTTTAAGCATTCTAGTAAACGTAGGCACATGATATACATACATTTTCTTTTTTCTTTTCAAGAAGTTATTACAATTGAGAAAGTTCTAATCATTGTAATTGCGAAGATGGTGGTGCAGCAAGAGGTTGTTTATGTGCAGTTTTTTGGGGGGAAATTCTTCTAAAATCATTCGAAAATGTCTGACAGTTTTTAGCATGTTACAGAAGAATCGTAATTGGGACAGTAAGACGAATATATTTGTTCGTTCTCAGCTGAAACGTTAACGTGAAACTAACTAGGCTGACCGAAATTTTGTGACAGAGAAAAGTCTGATCGTAATCCTAAGTTGTAATTATTACAACTGTGAAGATAATGGCACAGCAAAGGGTTACGTAGGATGCAGCCGAAGCTGGATGCGAGAAATCAGGGAGCCGAGAAATTCGAAAAAGAAACGTCTCCCCCGGGGCGTGTTTTGCAACTAA